AAACAACGGCGATCCGATGAGTTTGAAAATCGTGCAGTGTGAACTCGGCATTAGGTCTGCGTGCATTACTCAATACAAAGTACGCAAATTTCGGACTTGCATCCTCGGTAGTTCGGACTTTGCGAGTTCGACATGGGAGTGTGAACTCCTGCTGACGGGACGACGCAAGTCCGGTAATTCTGCAAACAGCAGCGTACTTGATAACGTCAGTCAGCTCGCCTTGGCTACTGCAGTTTTCCTCACTGTATTTACAATAAGACGAAATATGATATCAAACACCACTGCCTCCTTTCGTTTTCATTTAAACATATTAATAGCCGCAGAAATGTAGTTCAGGGAATGTATATAGCCTACATTACAATGAAACGAAATATTATATCAAACAGTATTGCCTCTTTTATTTTCATTTTAACATATTAATAGATTAATAGATTAATAGAATAAAAACCAAAGATTACCTGTTAGATTTACCCAAACCGAATTATATCTTATGTTTAACCACTAAAGAGACATCAGAGCCAGCGGCAAATGTCAGAAGGACTAGCCGAGTTGAGGCTGCTCTCGTCGGGAAACATGAGCACTGAGCGCCCGCTGATCGCGTGGAGCTCACGTCTCCGAAATCGGCGAAACACATTTTTAAATAGGCACTGTCTTCATAAATAAACCGCAGATTTGAGTTTTGAACAACTACATTCTCGCATGAAATACTTTTAAAAATACATTTCATGACACAATAACAGTAATATTTTGAAAATTATCCGAATAAATGGTGGCTGAAATACAATGCTGCGTGAACACAACCAATCAGCATGTAAGGAAAACCTGTTTTGTTATACGATTTAATTTGAATATACATTACTTAAATGTAAATAAAATGATAAAGAATACAATTTTAAAAAGTTAAAACCATTTTTACATTTTCTGTGAGCGTTTGTTATTTTATTATTCTGCTTTATTATTAGCATGTTGTTAGGTGGTTTCACCTAACATGGTAAAATAAAAAAATCACTTCAGGTCTCTATAACAGCCTCAAATATGGCTCAGGTCCCACCTTCAATGTAAGCCTATGGGTTTCTGTCTCCCATTTATTATATACTTGCCCAGAATCATATGCCTGATTGCTTAGTAATAGCACATCTCACTTTTACAAACTGCACATTGGTAACATGTTGGATTTTAATCTTAAGTACAGTATCAGGTAAGTGAACAGCATGAATGTGTATGCTATAATATATATTGCTATCTCACAAAATGTTTAAAATATTGTGACCTACATTTTTATTTATATTGCCCCTTGTGCCAGCTGAAGCTACAGTCATTTTTTTTTTAAGACAAGCTAAAATGGTAAAGGAATGTCTTAATTTAATTTATTAGCAAAGAGACTTCATGTCATGGCATTGATTCATCAGTTCAGTTCACCAAGAGTGGTGCTTGGCATCCAGCCTAGTTCTGCTGTGCAGGTGATGGGGGTTTAGGGAGCAGGAATGTGTGTGTGCATGTGTGTGTGTGTGTGTGTGTGTGAAGTGCGTATAATATCTCACCATCTGTTTTGAGAGCCAGAGGCGTCGGTGGGCTCAGGACCCTGGCGTTGGTCACAGTGTTCTTCACTTGGCACACGTAGCTGCCCACGTCCGAGGGCTGCACCTTGGAGATATACAGATTTCCCGTTTCCTGCGAGATGAATCGCCGGCTGTCCTCTGCCACGAACGAGGGAAGCTCATTGAACACCCAGCTGTAGATGATCTCTGCCGGGGCAGAAGGAGAGCAAGCAGATGAGCTGCGAGAACAACGCACATGTCCCTAAGGAAACCCCTGTCTGAATCTGCATTGTAGCACGCTGACCTTGTCAGAGCGAGGGCTCATAGGAGGAGGAGTCTGGGAGCTGATGTGTAGGTGATATGGATTAATTCACTGCTCTCTACTACAGTGTTCAGGGCAATCATAACCAGCATGTTATAAAAATGTACAGAGATACGGTTTCATGTTTGCATACTGTACCGAACTGCATTGGAATGAGGAAAGTAACCCTTGTGTCCAGACAATACACAATAAAGCAGAAAACAATAAATCAAATCTCTTCTATGCTAATTTTTGTTCTGACCCAAGTCCATCTTAAATTAATTCCAAGAACATAGTTTAAGGAGCTTGGGCTGAACTCAAATCAGATGGTTTCAACTTTTTATAGACAAGATGGTCTCAGACTTCGACTTCGACCCTGCTTTTTGTTCCATCACATTTACACCATTTGACCGCAAGGCACCACCCAAAATGTCTCCATAACCAATCACAATATTAAAAATTATAGTTCTGAAGTTGGAAAAAAAAAGTCAAGACATGCAATCATTATGTTTTCGTGATCAATCATTACTGTCACTTCCGAGTACTCGGGCACATTTCTTATTCCATACAGATACGCAGAGGAATAAAGTATTCTTTATCATGTCACATTGAGCTAGAAACCAAATGACAAAAGACAGGCTGTCAACAGAACAAAATTATGTGTGTATTTCTGTAACTCTGAAGCAGTCATATTATGCCATATAAATCCAGGAGATATGAGAGAGCGGATTACTACTCTGATCTCACACTGTTTGCCTTATGTCGACTATATCGTAGTCACATAGACTTTCTCACTGCAGAACAGGAGAAAAGAAAGAGAGAGATAAACTTCCTTGTGGTCCAAATTAATTTCCCCAAGACCAATTTATTCACCAACTAATTAAAGTATGAATTTCATAGACCATTGATTTCTTTTGCATAGTAAATACAGGTGCCGCGCTCCCGTTGATTAATCACTGAAGGATTGCCACTCTTTAAAGAGATTCCAGTTCAATTTTTCATACACAAGGGCTAATGTCACCTGAGTAAACAATGAATATTTATCTCATAAATAAAATTCTAAAGGACTCTCATGAAAGGCGTCCTCATAAAGCATCAAACAATATAAATCACAATATTTCTAGCTGACGGCCTCAGTGCCTGAGGCTTCTGATACTGTTTTTTGAGTTTATGCACTGGGTTTGCACAAAGACTTACAACTGTCAACGACTGAGGAAAGGTGAAGTTATTGTCCAAGAGGCACTGAATAGGAATGTAATGAAAATTCATGATGACTATGATCGGAATAGTACAGTAGTGGTTTATTTTTGCAGTATGAAGTACAATTAATTTTGCATGTTTATAAAGTAACAGGCATGTGTGGCTAAAATACATTTCCCATAATTCTCCATTTCATTATGAGAATGCTTAAATACACAGAAGGAGCACTATTACACACATAATTAGCATCATTTGTTTTTACTAGCTCAACATATGCTTCCTGTTTTACCGGAATGTGAAAAAGAGAGAAAGAAATCAGCCTTTGTGTTTATTTTATTCCAGCCAAAATCGCACATCACGTCATAAATGTAATTTCCGACCACGCACTGTTGGACATTCCCAGAAGAACCTGAAAATGGCATTTAAATGGAGCAAAGATAAGAGTACATACTCATTTTTATTTCTAGTGTAACGTCAGCGCTCCACACATTCATCAAGGTCAGGAACCAAAAACGCCTCCTCTACACTTTGAGTGGTGAAGCAACAGAGATCGTATTGAGAGTAATATCCTGTTTACATCTCAGTGATCTCAAATTATTTTCAATTACTTTCAGTTTTAAAGTCATCTACCCTTATTAATGTGGATGAAACCTCCTACGAGCAATTCAGGCAAATGAAAGACAAATTAACCTCAAAGCCGTCCTACGAGTCCTAAAATAAATTCCCTGCAGTTCTTCCCATTCCACACATATCAAATCCAAACTGCTAATCTTCCAAGCAAACATTTAATAGTTCCCGCTCATAACCGAATGATGTTCGAAACAGGTCTTACAGTCGATGTGTTAATGTAAAAAGTTAAAATAAAAAGTTCAAACGGAACAAATAAAGTTGCATGCTTATTGGTTGATTTTTGTTCGCTGTCAGTTCTAATTCATACACTTACTTAACCACTTACTAATTTTAATTTATTTATGTGAAATTTTTGTGTTGTAAAGAAATTAATGTATATACACAATTTACATTTATCTACAAAACTGTCAAGCATTTAAGAAGAACCAACGCATATATTCAGTCCAGACTTCTGATACAGCATAACATTTACATCATGGTTCACAATAAAATGCTTGCTATTGCTAAATGTATGCTTATGTGTTCAGATTCTTAAAGCCTGGTGCCCCTCAGAAGGTTCGCAGCTCTGTGCCTGATGGGAAATCATTATTGGCATTTAAAGACAAATCATTCTGTGACCTCGTAGCCAATGAATGATGTTAATTTTCTTCACATCAGCTTTCCGCGCTAGTCAAACAATTGCAGAAAATCAATAGACTAAAAACAGCCTTGTCTCATGTAAATAGGTTGCTCGGATCCTTAGTTATGGTACAATGCTACAGCTCTACTTCCTACACACTCTTGAAGAGCGCACAATAATTTACCATAACATATGAAGTAGCAGTAAAAGTTTGGACACACTGGACTGGGTTTATGTTTCTCATGAACCCAAAAGCATTTTAAAATAAAGGCGTAATGCTTAAATAAAGGACATCAGTTATGCAGAAAACATAAACTAGCAACATACTTTAAAACCGTCATTATATATATATATATATATATATATATATATATATATACAGTATCTCACAAAAGTGAGTACACCCCTCACTTTTCAGCAACCATTTTAGTATATCTTCTCAAGGGACAATACTATAGAAATTAAACTTGGATATATTTTAGAGTAGTCAATGTGCTGCTTGTATAGCAGTACAGATTTACTGTCCTCTGAAAATAACTCAACATACAGCCATTATTGTCAAAATAGCTGGCAACAAAAGTGAGTACACCCTAAGTGATAACAGCTGTATGTCGTTTAACCATGCAAAGCCACATGTCCTATTCATCATGTTCATGTTTTTGTCTGCTTGACAGGACCATACAAATTTGTGTATCTTGTATTAGAGCAGTTAAAATTTGGTGTTTTGAGTACAATTCTCTCATACTGACCACTGGATGTTCAACATGGCACCTCATGGCAAAGAACTCTCTGAGGATTTGAGAATTAGAATTGTTGCTCTCCACAAAGATGGCCTATGCTATAAGAAGATCTGTAACACCCTTAAACTGAGTTGCAGTACAGTGGTCAGGGTCATACAGAGGCTTTCTAAGACAAGTTCCACTCGGAACAGGCCTCGCAAGGGTCGATCAAAGAAGTTGAGTCCTCGTGCTGTGCGTCAGGTACAGAAGCTGGCTTCAAAAAACAGACGCATGAGTGCTGCCAGCATTGCTTTAGAGGTTGCAGAAGCGGGAGGTCAGCTTGTCAGTGCTCAAACCATACGCCGCACACTGCAACAAGTCAGTTTGCATGGCCGTCATCCCAGAAGGAAGCCTCTTCTAAAGCTGGCTCACAAGAAAGCCCGCAAACAGTTTGCTGAAGACAACCTGTCCAAGAGCATGAATTACTGGAACCATGTCCTGTGGTCTGATGAGACTAAGATTGTTTGGCTCAGATGGTGTCCAGCATGTGTGGCGACGCCAATGGCAGACATTTAGGCCAAAGTGAGCAAAGATAAAAATCTTTGTCATCATTTTATCTTTGTTATTAGAAAATAGGAACAAATATATACATTACAAATACACATAATATACAAATAAAACAAACACATTTTTCAGGTACAGTATTTAGCAGTTTTTTCGTAGCATATATGTCGCACTGTACAGCCCTGTCATTAGGTCAGATTTAGTTAGACCTATCGGACTGCGTCATCTAGAGTTTCATGCCAGAACTCTGTATATATATATATATATATACATATACATATAACAGGGATCTCCTCCACTTTTCCATTAGAGGACAACTGAGGAGTGAGATTTGAGACAGGCCACTAAAGCGCTCCCTCATTTTGCCTGTGTCTGCGTGAAATAATTGTCTGACTGCGATTTCTTTTCATTTCTAATGATCCGGTAAATTTGAGCCTTGATGCTGATGCTTGTCTGGAAACACACTACATCGACCAGTTGGAGACCGATAGGTTGACACACAAGGACTGTAATTTCCCATGTGGAACAGGAAGCCCAGTCAGTTCTGATGCAGATCACTCTGGCAAAGTCCTTTGATGTTATTCATCGCTATTGTCCTGAAGAAAACAGACAGCACCATGACACTGGATTTGGACGGATGCATCAAATAGTGTTTCTTCTCAAAGTTCACCAGGGAGGGCACAACAGAAATCAATCACACTTTGCGTTTGCAGAGTTATAAAATAATGGCATTATGATTATCAGATGACACATGTTAAGGAGAGCCGGGCTGAACTAAGTGAAACAGAGCTGCCGATGATATCCACCAAACATAAAGATATCCAACGAGGGAAGGGGTGGGAAGAGATAAGGACTAAGCTGAAACTGTGTCAGCATAGGCCGGGATTTATTTAGCTCAGAATGGAGTGTTTGGTGAATTTAGACCTGCACTAATATCACTGAAGCTCTCTCTCGGCTTCTTATCGTGGTGTAAACAGTAATGGTCACGCTCACGCTTGTATGGTGCAATAATGACCTCTGTTTGTTTGCAGTCTCACATCTGGACATAGTCCAACATGGTTAGGAAAGATGTGACGGTCAAGATGTCAAATGTTTTTGAAGTAACATCAGACCACTATACTAACAGGGATTAAATAGGATGAGATTTTGCAATGCTGTTATTTTTCCAGTTATAAATTAACAGTTCACCCTGAAGTTAATTATTTTATGAAAAGTCATGTTTTTTTGTCTTTTTATAGTGCATTTCATCCTTTTTTGAACTTGATATCCGTTACCATGAAATGCACTATGCAGAAAAATTGTAAAGAGTGTGTAAAAAAATAAATAAATATGGTAACACTTTACTTACAGCCTTAATGTATAATGCATTATAAAGTAGTTTTAATGTATTAATTATGCTGTCTAATGCACCTTATAATGCATTGTACAATCTCATTAATAATTGTAACCACAGTTAATACATTATAACACTATTTTAAATTATATATAAATATATACATACATATATATATATATATATATATATATAAAACAAAGGTTATTGGAGTATGTTTTAGAGGTATGTTATTTTAGTTTTTCTACTTCACAATTTCACCTTAATTTTAATGTGTTACTTGCAGTTTCTTTGTTTTTGAAATTTACAACATTGTAAAAAATATTTTTTGAAGTTATACTTTTCTTATTAATAGTATTATTCTTGTAAAATTGAGTACATTTTACAAGAAAATACTTTTTAAATACCATTTTAGTCCTTCTACTTCAAAATGCCACTGTTAATTCTATGTGTTACTTGCGGTTTCTTTGTAATAGTTTTTGAAATTTACTACACTGTAAAAATATTTTTTTTCTGAGCTGTAAATAAATATTGTTGGAATACATTTTACATGGAAATAATATTTCAGTCTACTTCAAATTCAGTGTAATACTTGTAATTTCTTTGTAAAAAAAAAAGAAGACACAAATTCTGAGTGAAAACTGTTTCAAAGTAAATGCTCAATGCATGAAAAATAGCAGCATACAGTTTTAATTCAAGCTGAAAGTGAGTAATGAGATTTTTTTAAGTGAACTATCCCTTTAAAACAGTCTTCTTCGTTAAGGGACTGAGCAGACAGGAAGAGAGGAAGCTGTATGAGGTTACTCTGGTTCTCTGGGAGCACTAAATGTTCTAAAAATGGCCACCTTACCACAAACCTTTCATCTGATAGTGCTCGTTCAACTGTCCTGTCTGTATCCTTCTCTTCCATCTCTTTGTCTCACTGCATCCGAGTTCATTTAACCTGCAATTACAGGGACTGGTGCAAGACAAGCAGAAACTGAAAAAAATTACTGAAGAGAGAAAGGTTAGATTAACCTATTGAAAAGACTAGTTCAGATCAGCAAGAGTCCAGGCTGGTTTATGCTGGTCTAGCTTGAACTTAACTCTAACACTGGTTCCGGTTACAAGTATTTTATCTTTCCACGGTCTAGGTGAAATGCTAATAAGATGTAATCTAACAGCACAGTACAACAAAGAGAGAAGCCAAGTGCATGACAAAATGTCTTCTTATTCCTGGTTAGAACAAAAACTAACATGGACAGCTTTACGAGTTTGTCACTTTTGTGTGTCATGTCAATACACGAACACGTTACACTTTTTAACATGTAACGAACATCCAAACACATAGACATAAAATTGCTGTGTGAGTGTATTCAAACAAATGAATGCAAATTATATATTTATGCTCTTTATGCTTACAACATTTTCTATTTTAATATATTTCAAAATATGTATTAATATAATGGTGAAGCTGATTTTCAGCAGCCATTACACTAGTCTTTAGAGTCACAAAATAGCCATTAATAATGTTGAAAGGGATGCACAATATTATATTTTTGCCGATATCCGATATGCCGATTTTTTAAAAATAATTTTGGCCAATATCGATATATATTTGCTTTTGATTTGAAACAACACCAAGTCCCTCCTGTGCAGAGATTATAAACGTATTATTTTTAATCTTGGTTAGTTTTGAGCAAAAACGTATTTGTTAAAACTAATAAACATTATCAAAGTTATTTTATTTTTTAATGAGAGTACACTGCAAACTTTGAAAATAACTATAATAAAATCAATCTCTGCTGTTTTTTTATTTATTTATTTATTCTTTAGACAGATGCAATTGAAACCTTAACATTTTAATTGTGGGTTTAACATTAATAGATGGTCTAAAACAAAAGAGCTAAAAATCAAGACCAAAATTCTAAAAATATTTTACAGCTCCTTGTTTTTAAGTTCCCCTTCAGGAATCTATCGCTATCTCTAGGGTGGGGACACACGCAATTTGTGCGTCGTCTGTTTGGGAGCGGAGCATGCACGGGCAGCTCTCGAGGGGGCTGCCTGCCATGACTGTGAGCTTCTTCCGCTCCGTGTGCTCTGCTCCCGCCTGGACGTCTTCGATGAAAGCGGCCAGGTTCGCGATCCTGCTGGGTCTGGCCCCGCTGTTGCTGAGGCACAGCAGCAGCTGTTATTGTAGGGATCGCAAGTAGATTTAGCGGAGGGATCCGAGACAGGCTCGTCCTTATCTCGGTCCCCACCTGCTAGATCCACGGCCCCTCTCAGGGATCGGAAGCCTGCCCCGTGGTTTCTTCCTCCCGGAGAGAGGGCCAGGCGCTTCATCTATCTTCCTCGGAGGAGGTTGATGTGATGAGCGTCGACACGGAGGAGACTGCGGACTCGTCACCGCAGTCCCTCGCGTATGAGGAGCTCGTGGAGGTTGTGACTCGTGCTGTAGCCAAACTGAACGTCGAATGGCCAGCCGAGAAAGAGGAAGCTGTGGTCTAGCTTTAAGGAAGATGTTTCCTTAAAGCTAGATCACAGCCTTCACAACAGGGCCTTCCATTTTCCCCTATCTCCATTCTGAAGTCATGAGATCATGGGATAAACCATATTTGTCCCGATTCTCCAGCCCTACAGTATCCAATTACTCTAACATCACAAGGCTGAATGAGAAGGGATATGGGGAGATGCCGGCAGTGGAGCAGACGCTCGCGAGCTCTCTCTCCCCGTCCTCAGCATCATCCCTGAAGGCCCCGAAGCTTCCTGCCAGGCCAGTAAAACTGACATCCAGCCTGGTTGGGAAAGCTTATACGGCGGCAAAAAGACCTAGATGATAGGGAGGAAGAGGAATCCGAGCAGTCTACATTCCTAGGCATCTCAATCAGGGAGCAGACATCCTGTCGAGACAGCGGGTGAGGCCCGGGGAATGGAGGCTCCACTCAGAAGTGGTGGACCTCCTTTGGAGGGAGTTTGGCCAGGCGGAAGTGGATCTATTCACGTCGCAGGACACGACACACTGTCCGCTCTTGTTCCCCCCCGCTTGGGCTGGATGCCATGGTACAGAAGTGGCCGAGGCTTCTTCTGTACGCATTTCCCCTGATCGCTCTGCTCTCGGGCGTTCTGGAGAGAGTACGCCGGAACGGGGTCCATCTGCTGCTAGTAGCCCTGTTCTGGTCGGCCCGAGTATGGTTCTCAGACCTTGTGTCCCTCCTCGACGGCTCTATGCTGGAGATTCCGATCAGGAGGAACCTCCTCTCTCAGGCGGGGGCACTATTCTTCACCCCCGTCCGGAGTTATGGAAGTTGTGGGCGTGGCCCCTAAGGGGGCACAGCTCATAGCATCCGGTCTCTCAACGGAGGTTGTTGAGACCATACTCCAGTCCAGAGCTCCCGCCACAAGGAAACTGTACACCTTGAAGTGGAAGCTTTTCACTTCTTGTTGCGGACAGCGACTGCAAGACCCAGTCAACTGCCCAGTTGGTACAGTTCTGGAGTTTCTGCAGGAGCGTTTCTCCGCAGGGTTATCCCCCTCCATTCTGAAGGTTTACGTGGTGGCCATAGCTGCTTACCATATCCTTCTGGGTGGTCAATCATTAGGGAAGCACCTGTTAGTTACACGTTTCCTCCGTGGCACCTGGAGGCTGAGGCCAGTACAGCGCACCAAGGTGCCCTCGTGGGACCTGGCGGTGGTTCTGGAGGCTCTGTGCAATGCTCCTTTTGAACCCATTGAAGATGTCTCTGACAAGCTACTCACGCTGAAGACAGTCTTCCTCCTTGCTATATCCTCACTGAAGAGGATAGTGGATCTTCAGGCACTCGCAGTGTTGTGCCTGGAGTTCGCCCCGGGCATGGTTAGGGCGTTTCTTTACCCGAGACCCGGGTATGTCCCTAAGGTGCCCACCTCTTAGCCGGGTCTCATAGTACTACAGGGCTTCTGTCCTCCCCCCTTCCAGGAAGCAGGCCAGGAAAGACTCAATCTGCTCTGTCCAGTGCGAGCACTGGACGCTTCCGTTCACAGAGCTGCCCAGTGGCGTAAGGCAGATCAGTTAGATCTTCTTTATGCACCAAGAGCTTGTAACACTCCAAAGAGAAAGGAAAACTTGAAATCGCATCATATGACCCCTTTAATATTTGTGTAGAAACCATGATACCTTTTTCAGGATTCTTTGATAAATAGAGTGTTAAAAAGAAAAGCATTTATTTGAAATATAAACGATTTGTTAACTATTTGTATAAATGCTTTTGCTTATAGCACTACCTTGTGGTTACTTGTCACAAAATTTGGTACACAGCCTCTTGTCCAAAATTTGCAGACATCTAAGCCTACCAAATCTCCTAATTATGAGTCATTCACAGTTGGAATTATTGGCTTCTGAATTTTGATTGTCTGTTGTCTATTTCTGTTGATTTGTCTAATTGATATTTCTAGGATAAGCACATGCACCAAAGAAAATGCAAGCCATATTTCAACTCCTTCATTTAAACAGCTACAGAGCTGTGATGATTCGTTTTGGTTATAGCACCACCTGCACTTGCATTTAAATGGGGCATGAAATGTGCCACTTTCATAGTATGGACCCTACAGTAAGTATGAAATACGGCAGATCAAATCTACTACTGGCATAGAAGATAAATCTATATGACTTGTAATATCCATCTTATAAGTTCTTTGAATATAATATTCCTTTTCATATGCAGCCAGCATCCAAAACAAAATGCATGCTGGTGACCTTTATGCTGCTCTTTTCAACAGGGTATAGAGATGGAGAAAGAACAGAAAGAGAGTACCCACCTGGCGAATGAGGAGGGGGGGCACACATTAGCACAACGCCCTGGCCTTCCCTCACCGAAACAGCTCCTCTCGCCCGACCGCTGAACGCCCCGAGATCTGCAAATACACACATGCAAGCGTGGACTTAGCCAGTGACAGAGTGACACACGGTGGCACAGAGGCAGCTGTTAACCTGCAGATTAAGGGTCTGAGATTGCATGAAAATCGGATAAGCGCTCGCGGCTTGGCTAGATTTAGTATCTGTCACCTGAGGTTTGACCTCTGCGTGAGCTTTCACTTTAACCTGCTCCACACCCCAAACCTGCCTCTTAAATCTCACGTCATGTTTCCCTCCGGACACGACGGCCAAGTGGTAATTAAAACAGGTAACCTTGCTCGAAGCCTTCAATCTTGTGAGTACTTTTAAAATACCGACGAGATGTGGAAAATCATTTTAGTTCACAAAAAGTTGAGAATTGTGGGCAATCATTACAATTTCAAGTCATGTCTGAGGAGAGACGTCGGGTGGTATTTTTAAAATGTAATTTGAGTTAGAACGTAGAGGTGAAGGTTTCCACATGCAGCGGCACTCTGGAAATCACACAGCGCAGGGATGGTTTCATCAGGCTGCAGGAGTCTCACAACTGAGTCGACAGGTGGAGCTACTACAGTTAATCTGTTGAAACAAATTGCATTTGCATAAATTACCATAATTTATCTGCAAACTCTCTGCAAAACACCATGCCATTGTCTGACTGCCCCTTGTAGTGAGTAAAGGTGAGGGGGGTGTAGAGTTACCACAGTATTGCATTTTGACGTTAAGAACAACATTATCATTTTTCATGGTTGCTCTTGCAGGTCATGAGACATAAAGGAGATCTCAGTTACATTTCATTTAAGTACCCAGCTAACAAAAAAAAATTGTGCTAAAAAGGTTTTGTTAATGTACCTATTATTTTATGAACAAACAGTGTTGGGGAAGCTACTCTGAAACTGTAGCTTGAGCAGCTACAAGCTACTCGTAAATTAATGTAGTTAAGCTACATTCAAGCTACCCTTCTGAAAAAGTAGCTAACTACACAACAAGTTACTGTCAAAAAGTAGCTAGCTACATTGAAACTACTTTCAATTTTTTCTTCTTCTTCTTTTTTTTTTTTTTTTACAATAAACATTACAAATAACTAAATAATTATTAATGAATAATTATAATGAAGTTATAAGTAAAATATAATGAGGTTACACGTAAAATATTTGGGGTTTAAAACAACATACTGTAATGCAATCATGATTTCAAAGACTAGGGTGAATTCAGGTTGATTGGGACACTTTTCCAAGCCATTTCAATGACAAAAAGTTTCCCAATCATTTGATTTTGTAAACTATTCGATACACACAATAATAAAATAATGTATAGTTAAATAGTTATTTTAGTTATATTAGTATATTGCTACAAACGTAACTCCAATGTAAGAACAAAAATGTATGCAACTTAAACTGGATAAGGAGGAGTCATAAAATAAGCAGGTTAAACTCACAGCACATGCGGTATTTACTGACTGTGAATGGAGACGTCAATCATCAGCTGCGCGCGTGAACACTGCGCTTTGCGTGAATCCCGCCGCAACCATACTTTGCCAAATGATAAACACATTACTATATCACGATTTTATTTTCTGTTCGATTAGTGTTCATTACAAAGATCACAACAACAGATGTCGGTAATTAACAAATTTAGTTTGTGATCTAGTCAGAAGAAGACGCTGCACTGCTTCAATGCATTACAGGCTCGTGACTCGTCAGAACGCAAAACGGAATTTAGCGTTTAGTCGCGCTACACCGCTACTTGCTGGAAAAAGTAGCTAGCTGCAGGAATAGCTACACTGTTTTAAAAGTAGCGTCGCTACTGTAAAGCTACTTAAAAATGTAGTTAAGCTAGTAGCGTCGCTACTTGTAGCTAGCTACTCCCCAACACTGTGAACAAACAAAACAAAACAAATAAAAAAAAAAACAAAACCAAGACAAAAATCTAAAGTTCTATGAACATTCAATTTTTTTTTTAAGTTTTAAAAACCTTTAAACCTTTAAACCTTATAAGGTATGAATGTATGAACATTTTCTTCTTGGTTATGTGAACATTAGATAAAACATTAATGGAACTGTCCTTTTTATAATTTTTCCAGTATTATGGGAATGTTACTTTTGTATATTCTTTGACTGGCCTACACAAAACAAAACAAGACAAAACAATACAGTACAAAACACAAAACAAAACAAAACAAAACAAAACAACAAAACAAAAACTAACTGTAATAAGTTAAAAATAATAATAATAATAAAATCCATGAATGATGTATAAACAGAGTTATCATGCAAACGTTTTGAGAATTATATTAAAGACCAGATAACTAAAAATTACTGGAGTCTTTTCTCAGGAGACACATCTCAAAGGCAGGAGATAAAGTCTCCATTTAATCTCAAAGCCTTCTAGGAGAAAATATTGAGATATTAAAGATATCTCACTACTGACTTCTTTTCTATGTGAAAAATGTTGAAAGACCTCAAAATCACAAAGACCATAATAATAAAGTCTGCCTTTTAGGGTACAGTTAGAGTGTCAAATATACCATATGTAAGCTTCGATGGAAACAATACATCATATTAATTTATATGCAAATACCACACTGAAACAATTTAAAATAAGGGAAAAGGGGGGTGGAATCAGATTTACATATATCATGAGCATTCAATGACACATGCTCAGGAGCCCTGAAGGTCAATTCAACTCTTAATCTTTAAATTACACTGTTGGTCATTTTGGCTCAGTTTGAGCCTGCACTTAGAACTTACACTTCTCTAAGCTTTTGGTAACAAGGTGCAAATGGAAATTAAACGTTAGCAGCATTTATCGAGGTCAGCAAATCAATAAGTGTCCGAGTTAAGCATCGCTGTGCTGACATATCAACAAATATAATGGCACAACCAGAGTTCGACTGGAATGACACTTAATTTGGCTTAGCGACCACATATGTGCAAGGAACTAAGCAATAACAACTTTTTTTCTAGGCTCTTGAGAGCTTGAAGTACACTACAAGTGCACATTCAATACAATTAAGTACACTTATTTTTCACAAGAGTAAAAACATCGAACAGGTCAATTTTGATCATATGTTGACAAGGAAAAGCTTTGCTCTCCATTGTATCTCGCATGAGATAATAAAGAGATCTCACTTGTTATTCCTTTCTAAGAGCAATGCGAAATTCAGCAACTTTCCGTCAAGAATGGCTGTTCATATAATTATTTATTTTCCCATGTAATTGTATGCACTATGTGAAAGCGTTCCAGCAAGCTTAGGCATGTGGGTAATTAAAATAACAACTTTTTTTCTAGGCTCTTGAGAGCAAAAGCAAGTGATAAACAGCTTTTGCTAATTAAACAACTTTGCTAACAAGACAACTTCTCAGTTATATTTGTTTTGAGCAGTAATTTTTCTGAGATTTACGATGATAAAATTCAGCAACTTTCCATCAAGAATGGCTGTTCATATAATTATTTATTTTCCCATGTAATTGTATGCACTATGTGAAAGCGTTCCAGCAAGCTTAGGCATGTGGGTAATTAATCTTTTTTTTTCTTCTTTCCTCATTGTGGGTTGAGACAGAACAGAAGACAGAGCTTATGGGACAGGAGACGAGCTGTTTCATCTACCCCGGTCATGGGTGGTGTTGATTAGCCCCTTTCAGACTGAAGTCAGGCAGTTTTAATTTCACACAGCAGCAGTGACGTCGGGGGGCCTGGGAGAAACTACCAAGCATGGTAAATTTCTGCATATCAAGCAACACAATCCACACAAATGAGAAACAATATTCGCAATCCACACCCATACTGTGACTACACTACATCTATTCATCAGCTCTGAAAACAAAAGTCATATTGGGTCTAAAGTGAACGTATGAGTAAAAGGCAGACAGGGAAGTGCCAAAAGCAGCAGGCATCTGGTGTGTCCTGACTGAAGGTTTTAAAATATCTAGGATAACATGACTGGTTTTGACACAACAATGCGGTAAATCACTTCTACTGAGCAATAGCTGATCTTTGCCCCTGTCTATTATAACATCTGACAGAACGCTATATTCTCTGGTGGAACGTATGATTTGAAAAGCACAACCTTGACATGTGCTCTGACATAATATATAGACATCTATTTGTGTACAGCATGGCAGAATAAAGCTCACAGGTAAACAAGAAACACCTAGGTTTCAAAGAGTGAAAGAAATACATTACAGAAAGAGAAACATTTCACGAATACTGCCGTAACATATGGCATGCTGTATGTGCTTTACATGGCAAAGTCCAACTGAAACTGCTTTTACAACCTGCTTTTTGTGGATAGATAAAATGGACAAATAACTGAGATAACTTAATAAAACCTTAAATACCTCATATAATAAAAAGTGAAAATAAATCATGGAACTGTTGGAAGCCCAGTGCTCTTCAATTAAAGGAAGCCAAACCAAAGGGCACTACAAACAAACAAAATCACTTTACCCTCATGTTGTGTTCCAGTCATTTGACCCAGAGATTATTTCCTCTTTCTTGAAAATTCTAGTTATTGCATTGTGCTAAAATGTACTGAATTTGCTTACACAGGGTACACAGAGCATCTTCCTTTATTTATTTTTATTTTTATTTATTATTAATTAATATTTTTTTGTTTATAATTTTTGCATTTTTTCTTTTGGTGTTCTTGGTCAAAAAATTAGAAGTCTCTTGTTATAATGCCTAGTTATTTCCTGAAACTCTAGATAACACATGCTGGTGGATTCTTAACGTAACTGATGATATTCACAGCATTAAACAACTTGGTACAAGCTGATTGGTTGCTTGCTGCTTTACATTTAAATGGCTGGTTAGCATCCACTTGAGCATTTTACAGCGTGCTTTCAGAGTTCCTCTGAAACCCCCCACTTCCCCAGCTCCACCTGTATAGATCTGCAACGGGATATTTTACATGCTATTTGTGCAGCGGCAGGATGTCATAAAATACTCACAGCACCATATCGCCTTATTGGCAGTAGCAAGTTCCCGTACTTGCTTGCAGCAGCAGCAGCAGCAATAA